TCGGAAGTCAATAGAACTTGCTTCATTTGCTCTTATATTAAATTGACCTTCACACAATGAAGCTTATCTGCTTTTTTCGTGTCAAACAACGTACAGGGAATAAATAGGCAGCCACTATTGGTGCGGATGCCCAACCCGGATTGAATGGCGCTGGACTGCTGTCTATTCTACATGCTACAAACATATGCTCTTAATATGGGCTGACAGCCTGGTCCTACTCGACTATACAAGTATATGAGGGAAGTAGCCCTTCAGTACACATCTCAGAGTTTCCGGCTGGATACTAGACAAGAAAATTTACGCTTCCCAACAAGGTAACCAAGACGCGCATGCAACAGCGAAGCATAACAGAGGTTTCTTGATCGAAATCAAACTTGGCGACTGCCGCATTGCTCAGTTCGAATTGGTGGTAGCCTAGTGGCTGGCAGTTGCAAACACAGTAAAAATGTCCATCTCACTGCCCTTAAATCCTTCACCGTTTGCTTCTCTGCCCCGTTCGTTCTGTTTTTCTCGGCACTGGTTTCTTAGTAGTCATTTTATGTCAGGTTCATCTAAACCACGAGGCACATCATTGAATAAGAGAGCGAGAAAGAGAGAACGTTTAACATGAGAGAAGGAATGTTATTCGTAAAAAACAAGAGAGAATTTAGTATTAAGAGAATGAGAGAGAATTTAATTTTCAAGCTTATTTTTGCACTTTATTTTAAGATCTTTATAGGATTGAAAAACAGGTTGGTCTTTGTAATGGTTTTAGTCAGAATATTTCCTTCGTTCCAATACTGCTGAAATATAAGGCACAATAATCAAATTAATTCATCTTAAATCCAAGCCCCAAATTAACTCAAATTAAACTTGTATTCCGGCACAGTAACAAAAATAATTTTAACTTAAATTCAGGCCAAATAATGAAGCCAATTTAAAATTAATATGAGCCTAATAATTACATCAAGTATTCTTTCAAACTGAAATCAATTAAAATAAATAAATTACACACTACTGTTTAATTTGAAACATTCAAATCTATATGCACAAATTAGTATGCCATCTTAATATAATTATAAATATATATGGTTTTCTTAGTAATAAATTTTTCCAACTAATACTTAATTAATCAAGTTTAATACCCCATATGTTGTGATTGTCATCAAAGCACCTATTAGATCTAAAAAATCAGTCACCCCTTTCTTCGTTATGAGAAAACATTTTGATAGTAGGACCTCCTAAAATGAAGATCCATAAAATGCATACCTTGTTACTAGTTTCTGTGCCTAAGTTTAATATTCACTATTTCATCCTTGTCTAGCTTTTCCACTTGTGTAATCACATCAATGTTTTCTTAAAATTTCTGTATACCATCTAGTTTCATCAGGTTTCTTGAGTGTCGAAAGAGAGAATTCCATTGTCAGCCATTAAATCAGAGGGAAATTTTAAGATTGTGCCTCCACATGTAATGTTCTACAAAACCTAGTTTAGAAGCAGTTTTTAAAGAATTTCAATGATACCAAGAATGTAAAAGAATTTTCAATCTAAAATATTTTAAGAAAAAGTTTAAAGTGTATAGATAATGATTGTAAATCGAAAGGATTATTTAGATAGATTTTCATACATAATAATAATTCAAAGTGGATGACTGACTTTCTTCAATTGTTAATAGATTCTAAGAATACCTTTTTCTCTTTAGGATTTGTGCACCTTCGCCATAAGTCTTTAGGCTTTTTGTCTTCCTTTTTATTAATTCTCATACAATTCTATCATCAGTTGTCTTAAGGCACTTCATCTCTTACTCACTAGAATTTTTCTACTTGAATGTGAAAACTCAATGTTGATAGGGAGTGATGAAATGGATTTAAAGATGGTCTTTATAAAGTTAAGTAACATGTACCTTTCAGATACTCAAAAGAATCAGTATCATCAATACAAATTTTAATTCAGAAAATGTCTACTTAGAATATTCACGTGTTGAGGTTAATGTATTGATCTCTTCTCATCTACAGAAGTGACAACATGTCATTTTGTTTGTGATAAGTAACGCATATTTAGTTTATTTGATGCTTTAGATCATGTTAAACCATTTTTATTCAATGAAAAATCACACAAATCATACATTAGATTAATTACCTAAAATAAATGCTTAATGTACGATTTTTACAGACTTTGATAATAGGTTTATACTTTTAGCATCTCTTAATTATATATTAATATACTTGACATTTTTTCCCTTAAATCTGCCCTTATTCGCAAAAAAATCAGAATTTAATAGTTAAAGTTATTTTTTTAGATGCAAACAATATCCTCCTAAACACCAATATAGCACTATTTGAAACGCCTATTCACATCAAAGTCTGGTATTGATCATTGTGAGAGTTGAAAAGGAACGTGGAGGTCTGAAAATAAACTTTTTGCCCTAATATCAAGTCGTGTTAAACTAATCGCTGACGACCACCTGGAAATGCGTAGAGTTGCTTGCCTGTAAAATCTCATTTGCTTATGCCATCGCCAATAGAGCGGGTCATTCCGAACAGCTTTCAAGCATGGTACCGATACAAGTTGGGTGTTTCAAAACTCGAAGCCTGGGAAAGATTGAAGGTGAAATAGGGAATAAGATCACCTTCTGATTACAACTTTTGGTTCCCCAAAGAGTTGCAACAGGAGAAGATAACCATCGGTTATGCTATATTGATCAGAAACGCACCATAGCTTACAACGCTTAACCCGCCAAATGCTTCTCCCATACCTCAGCGCAAGTGGGTTTCCTCGATCTTTAAAATCGTAACCGATTACAGCACGAGCATGCAGCTAACCGGTCATGGCTGGTTTTAGGATACAACAGACTTCTGGTGACGCCGCTCCTTTGTGGGCTTCAGGCCGGTAGACGAATCGGTGTCCTTCGTATCCAGGCAAGTTTTAACAAGTTGACGGGATAACTTTCTACTCGGATGCAGGTCGACCCTAATCCGCTGACTGCAAATTCTTCATTCCATCTCCAAGCATACTCTCCCTCGGTTGGCTAATGCAGGTCAGTTTCGGATGTTCAAAATTCCCACAATCTGATGTTGAAAAACACACTAGGAAGACTCCGACCTAATTATGCTTAATAGGTTTGTTCTATTCAATTTCTGAAGTTTGGAATAGGAGTAGGCTACGCGATGGCACCCTACCACCCTCCTCATCTCCTCTTTATGAAACTACCATCGGGGAAGCCACGTGCTGTTGATATAATTTAATCTCCGTCAAAACTTCTGTAGAGCCCATTAACAGCAAATCTGAGTGCAGGTCGCGGATCAAATCCATCCCCTGGAACGAAGTCGTCATTTTTGTAGCTTCCCGTCGATCAACCGCGCAGCATTTCTTCCCCGGCATTAATGAGGTTCTTCTAGAAACTGTGGCCACTAACATACTAAGGAGCGAAAGATCTCAACATGACGTGCAGATACGCGTAGAATCGGATGAACTGGTCGTGCCTCCCGGATAATATTCAACAGTGGACGGTTTTCAGGGGAAAAACACCCTACGAATGGCATTGTACGACCTAGGCGCGACAGACACATGGGTAGACGTGGATAACATTTCCCGCTCGTGTCCAACGTCCTGTCTGTACGCGGGGGATTAAGATCAGAAGGGTAAGTGGCAGCCAGCTGCTTATCGTTTCACCGATGAAATAATGTTGACGAGATTAAGAAAGGAAATCTCAGCGTACTTCGATTATCATGGGGATTCCTAAAGAGATAGGATCTAGGTATAAATACGGATATACGCGCACAGAGCGAGAAAATGAGACTAAACTCAGCGGCTTCTGAAAGCGGAAACTTCGCAGTTCAGATACACGTGAGAAAATAATAGTCAGATACTCTGGTACTGTTTTGTCATGACGAAGAAATTAATTATTAATAGCAGAAGAGAGCAAAGTGTAAGATGTTCATTTCGCACGTAAGGTACAGAGGCCCTAAGGCTACGCCAATCTGCCTGGTGCGCAAGGAGTAGCACCATATCTTTATTTCTCATTATCATTCCACGTGGTTGATCCCCTGCTCGCCAGAGCTTCGATCACCCAGTACATTTAACAAAGCATGTTCACACCTTTGTAGTCATTGGATATGCAGCTCCGGGTCTCCCGCTCGAGCACCTCGGGGAACTCCCGGGTTGTGCAGTCATGGGAAACTTTAAGCTCTGCGGTCTGGCCCTCTGTATAAACGAAGTGGAACCCCCCGTTGTAGTTCTCTAGGTCGAAGCAGCCACAGCCGGTGATGTCTTTACTCTTTCCGCTGCACCCAGGCCCCTCGAATACAGTCAGGGTACTCGCCGACGCCGGCAGGACGGCTGCGGCCGCGATGAGCATGAGGAGAACGGCCGCTCCCATGGCGGGCAGACAATTGCTACTGGCTGCCATATCTTCTTGCAGCAGTTGACGGAGAGTTCTTCCTCGAGGATTGGCGCAAGGGTTTTAGGGGTGCGAGGAAAATCTGGTTGTGCACTTAAAAACGCCTAGTGTTTGCAGGTTTTATAAGGTTGAGAAAGAGATTTTGAAGCATGGACAAAAGTTCGATACGTCACGCCTCTCACCCCGGTCGCCGGAAATCGGCCGATCGTAGTTATCTGACTTCCTGCGACCAAAACTTTCTCCGTTCGCATCTGGTAGCCCTTTCACATCACCAGTCCTTCTCATCTGGTGCTGGCCCACATGATCGATCTTCTCAGACGGTCTTGTTGATCTTCGTCTTCCGTAGAGCCAATTGTCCGTTGTGGACGGAAACTGTCAGTGCGTTAGACTATAATTCGTTCACGTCTGGTTTGATGGAGGATAGTTGAGGTTGGAGAGCGTACATGGTTTTGAATGGTCACTGCATTTCAAAATGGCACCCATTTTGAAAGGTAGTTTGACGTTTTTCGGATGTTTTGGTTGTTTTTCAGATAATAATGTTTATTATGTATCTGACTGGGCAAAAGTGACGGGGCCTAGAATGGTCTGAGAGAGGAGGAGACTTGCAAATAGCCAACTCTCTATGAGGGCCATGTGTCTGAAGGTGTATGCTTCGAAGGAAGGTTACAACACGCACGTGCGACGCAGAGAAAGACTACAAGAAATTAAATCCAAAGAGAGTTCTACATTGACCAGCTGAGTGCTGCGTAGAGTAGTAGCGCAGACGCGTAGTGAAAGCGAGAAGGTCCATTGCTTTAACAACGAACGGAACCGAATTTCTTCATCCCGGGACAAGTTCTCCTTCAAACGCGTGTTCTGTCACACTAGTCATCTAAGCTTTTCTTCCAGCACCAGTCATCGGGTATTCGGTGGGTTACAAGTTCAACAAAACCGTCTGCGAAGAACGTGCGGGGCAACTGACGACGCAAAAGAGTTGTAACGTGAAGAAGCCGTCAGATGAGAATGCCGAAAGGCACCAGAACGACAAAAGGTCGACTTCCGCTTATCACGGTCTGAATGAATGATGTACGTGACGTACAAAAGTTTTCATCATCTTCTACAGCTCCACAAAAATCCTATAAAATGGGCACAGCAATGGATCTCATCACAAGGCAGTCAGACCTCTTCCCACGTCCTCGTAGCCCTTCACCTAATCCCGGAGAAAGGACTTCCCGTCCCGCTACTGAAGGATATGGCCGGCAGCACCAACCCGCAGCAGACCGTTGGAGCGGCCCTCCTCATCGTCTTCCTACTGGTCGCGTCCGTGACGCCGGCGTTGGCGAGCACCCTCACTGTATTCGAGGGGCCTGGATGCAGTGGAAAGAGCAAGGACATCAACGGCTGCGGGTGCTTCAACCTCGGCGTTTACACCGGCGGCTTTCACTTTGTGTACACGGAGGGTCAGGCGGCCGAGCTATACGCCTTCTCCAACTGTGCTAGCCGCGAGCTTCCTGACCGTCTCGACGTGGAGACCCGCAGTTGCGTCCGCAACGAGCACCGCAGCGTCGAGATGCTCTGCTAACAGGACGTGCGCTCCGTCTTTCACGGTTTTCGAGGGGGGGGGGGGAGGTATTTTCGAGTAAATATGATGTTTGATAAAGCTCAGAAAGACATCACCTGAACCTAATTTTTAATTTTTCACTTCATCTTACACTCCTCTTCGTGCACTTTTTAGAAAAAAAAGTAAAATACAGAAACAAGTATTGCGAAATTCTAAGAAAAATAAAGCTTTAAAAAAACAGAATGAAATAAAGACCATGGGTTGACTCCCATACAATGCTGAATTTAATGTCTCTAACTAGACACATTAATCTTACTCTTGAATTTATTTTAATAATAATATATTTTATTTCTACAATACATTCATATTCTATGTAATGTTTAAGCTACTGTCCATTTACCTTAAAGTTATGATCACTTTTAGGATCTTTAATCATTACAACTCCATGATCATGTCTCTTCTACCACATAGGGCTCTATCCATTTTGATTTTAATTTTTCTAAGAATAATTTCAGCCTAGAATCATATAACCACGTTTTTTGTCCAACATCAAATTTTTTCTACTAATATATTTATCATGAAAAGTTTTAGTTTTTTCTTTATATATTCTATGATTTCTATAAGCTTCATTCCTCAACTCCTCTAGTTCATGTAGCTGAAAAATTCTATGCCCACCAACTGATTTTTCATTCATACATAATTTTTTTATAACCCATAGTGCTTTATGCTGTATTTTCACAAGAGGATGACATGGCTCTCCAAAAATGAGACAAAATAGAAACATACCTATGAGATTTTTATAAGTTATTCAATAAACCCATAATGCATTTGTAATTTTGTGGGTTAATCTTTTCTATCTGATCTAACTATTTTTCTCAAAATTCTCTAAATTTTCTTATTTGCAACTTTAGTTTGCCTATTTGATTGGAGATAATATGGAGTGGCTACTCTATGGCGCGTTTCATTCTTTTTTAACAGTTTTTAAAAATGTTTATTTAGAAAATGTGTTCCTCCATCATTAATAATCACCCTAAGATATCTAAATCGTGAAAAAAATATTTTCTTCCACAAATTTTACCATGATTTTATGATCATTAGTTCAAGTAGTAATAACTTCCATCCACTTAGACACATAATCAACAACAAGTAAATATATTCATATTTTTTAGTTGATTGGAAGGGACCCATGAAATCTATTCCTCATACATCAAAAATTTCGACTACTAACATCTTACTCATGAGCATTTCATCTTTTTTACTCATGTTGCTTGTAGATTAGCATGAAATACATGTTCTACTAAATTTTATAAAATCTTTAATGATCGTAGACTAATAAAAATCACACTGAAAAATTTTTCACAACTATTTTTTATTTAGAGAAATGTCCTCCACAATTAGATGAAAGACACATGTTAAGAATGTGACGTGACTTAGTCATTGTATATTAAATTATGCAAATATAAAATTTATAAAACTAGAAAATACGAATTTTTGAATATTTAGAAGTATTTCTAAACAAATATATCAATTATATCTCAATGAAAGTTCCAAAAATAGCGTTAATTTTTTGGTTCAATCACAGTAATGTAATATAATATCTGGTAATTATTCAGAGTTTTTCTCAATGAATACGAGTTTTTATGAATTTTATACTAGGAAATGAAAAGAAAATATATTTAAAATTTATGAGAAAAGAGAAATAAGGGTGTGGATGTCAGGATGACATCAGCACCCGACAAATGCGAATTGGACAGAAATAGAGTTCTGCCTGGTAATTCTTATGTTAGCGATTACAGATGATTTAATTAATCAAATTAAGATCTGTAAAAGCTAGAAGAATCGTAATTGAATAAAGTATATTTTGGTAAATTAAAAACACAAAAATTATCACTAAATGAAGCGTAAAGTAAGTTAAAAGCAGGAAAACAAAGTTTTGGCATCGCGACGGCAATGCGTCGGCGATGCACCGGAATCTTGAGCATTTGAGAAGATCGTCATGCAATGTCCATGGCCTCAAAGGCTCTCCTTAGACAAAGACAACGTGGGCAATCTCTAGATCTCTTTTCAAAGTCTAGAGATCAATGGAATTGGTCGTTGACTCATCTCCAGCGGCTGTCACCCGACGGAGCAAAAAAATGGCAACTTTGTGGCTCTCTGGCGGCTGTCACCCGACGAAGAGGAGTTGGATGGAGGTGGGGCACGTGTCAGGGAGCTTCATCCTCAGGTCTGCACAACAAGAGGAGGCTCTTCATCGCATCTGGTATGCTCTCAAGCGGTGGCGACTCGTCTCCTGATGGATTGTCCTCTTCTCGATGACGGCTTGTTCGTTGATCAATTAGAGATGATTTACTCAATAGATTTGTGATCCTTTTATCGCAAATCGTTTAGCAATTTTAGTAGCAATGCTTCGGGAATCGCGTTGATGAGATTTTCACTGATGATCCAATAATTCTCCTTGCTTAATCCTTCACCGACGATCTGTAGGAAAGTCACGATAATTAGATAAAAATAAATGACTTTTGACTCTAGAAGGACTCGAACCTACGCTGGTCGCCTACTTCTTCTGAGGAAGGTGTGACGTGGGTTTACTCCCATATCGGTTGTGCGCCGATTTTTCGGGCAAATATATAGTAATGTTAACTTTCTAAGCAAAGTCCCTTCTCTCGCATGTACGACCACTCCTTGTCCTACAACTGGCTGGCCACTAGTGATGTGGAAGGGGAGTAGTGCACACGTGCCCCTATTGGTCCAAGCCGCTCGAGCCCTTGCTCATGACTACTCTTCGACTGAGCTTCTGACCCGCTTGCAGGTCCCCCGTTTTGTAATATTTTAGTTTTATTTCTTTTTCTTCATTTATCTCAAAGTAAGATTGTAAAAATCATATAAATTCATATAAAATCACATAATTACCCAAAAAATCATATTAATCAACTAAAAACCACTTTTCACACTTTAACACAAATATAAGTCTATTTATCATGAGTTAAGGCTAAAACTATATTATTTACTAATTATTAACTCATGATAATGAAAACTTATCTTACCCCTCAACTTAAATCATTGCTAGTCCCTTAGTAATGAAGTTATAAAAATTAAAATTTACAAATCTCAAACATCATATTTCAATATAGAAAGAAAAAAAATACAATTAGAAATGATGCACCTTTAGACACTTTGGATTCTTATATCAAGTATTTAAGAATAATGTCAAGCACTTAAATGTTTAAATATTCTTTGGAATAACAATCTAGACTTCACTTCTTCTATTTATATCTTTATCCCTTCTTCACTCATAGATGTATTTACAAGATGTTCCAATTATCAATACTCATCTAAGAATAATATTGATCCTACATTTCTCTTTTTCTATGACTTGATTTTTGAAGTTTGTACCATATTTCTTCTTTCTCTTTTTTTTTTTATATATAGTGGATAAGTAGCTTTTCTTGTAGACAAATTTCGACAATAAGAATGATGTCTCACACCCTCCATATATACTCTTCATTTTCAGGGCTTTCACTTTATCCACTTATTTTGCAGTAAGTGTTTTTCTATACACGATTTTCAACAATGAGAATGATGTCTCATGCCCTCCATATGTACTATTCATTTCTAGATTTTTCACATTGCTCTCTCTTTTTTTTTTTTGAAAATAAGTGATTTTTCCTCACAAGTCCTATAGATCAGGGTGCAAAAATTTCCATTAAACTCAAATGATAAATCAAATTTTCACATCAAGTAAATATTATCCATCAAAATCATGAAGTGAAAATCTGTTAAATCAAATCCATGCTATCTATCATGTATCCAAGGAGTATTCCAACATTTCATACTATTGGATCATTCTTTTGACTCAATAATAATCTTCCTAGTATCTTTTGGTATCAATCAATCTAATTGATTTAATTTTTCATGCATGCAATATGATGTAAGAGATTTGTAAATTAGATAGTTCTGATAGTTCTGTTTTCTATTTTCAATTCTATTTTTAGCAGTAATAAATTTGTCAAAAATAAATCAAAACTATCCTCTTTATAGCTATAATTTCGAATTCCAGTAATATAGGTCTAGGGGATTGAAATGTGATAAAAGGGTCTCTAGAATTTCAAATTTTGGGCTATTTTTTGTCTACTGTTTTTGACAATCTGTTGTTCCTAACAGAAAACCAGAAAATAGATGTTGTAGTTTTTCCAAATTTTATTTTATTTTTTATTTTTTTAGTCACTGTTCTAAGTTGAATAAAATGCAAACACATGTTCTTAATCGTCCTACAACATAAATTAATAATGAATACTTCACCCCTGAACTTAAAAATGGCATTGTCTTCAATGACACAAAAAACTCGAAATAGAATATGCAGAAAATATAATTTTCAAGTGAAGCATGTATATATGTAAAGTTTAGCATTAAAAATATTGTCATAAATGATAAAGCTCTAAAAGATATCACCTCAACCTCATTTTTAATTTTCTACTTCATCTTACACACCTCCTCCTATAACAAATATAGAAATAAGTACTGCAAAATGCTAAGAAAAATAGAGCTAAAAAAAATCAAACAAAATGAAATAAAAACCATGGGTTGCCTCTCATGCAGCACTGAATTTAATGTCTCTAGTTAGACTCCTTGATCTTACTCTTGAATTTTTTTTAGTAATAATTTTTTTTTTCTGCAAGGCGTTCATGTTCTATGTAATGTTTAAGCCATTGTCCATTTACCTTAAAGTTATGATCACTTTTAGGATCTTTAATCATTACAGCCCTATGATCATATGTCTCGTCCACCACATAAGGCCCTTTTCATTTTAATTTTAATTTTCCTGGGAATAATTTCAGCCTAGAATCATATAACCACACTTTTTGTCCAACATCAAATTTTTTTCTGCTAATGTATTTATCATGAAAGGTTTTAGTTTTTTCTTTATATATTCTATGATTTTCATAAGCTTCATTCCTCAACTCCTCTAGTTCACGTAGCTGAAAAATTCTATGCCCACTAGCTGATTTTTCATCCATACATAATTTTTTTATAGCCCATAATGCTTTATGCTCTATTTCCACAAGAAGATAACATGGCTTTCCAAAGATGAGACGAAATGGGGACATACCTATGAGATTTTTATAAGTTTTTCTATAAGCTCATAATGAATCTTGTAATTTCGTGGGTCAATCTTTTCTATCTAGTCTAACTATTTTTCTCAAAATTCTCTAAATTTCTTTATTTGCTACTTCAGCTTGCTCATTTATTTGGGGATGATATGGAGTGGTTACTCTAGTGTACTCTATTCTTTTTCAACAGTTTCTTAAAATGTTTATTTGTAAAATGTGTTCCTCCATCACTAATAATCACTCTAAGACATCCAAATCTCGAAAAAATATTTTTCTGCACAAATTTCATCACGATTTTATGATCATTAGTTCTAGTAGAAATAGCTTCCACCCATTTCGACACATAATCAACAGCAAGAAAAATATATTTATATTTTCTAGCTGATGGGAAGGGACCCATGAAATCTATTCCCCATACATCAAAAATTTTGACTACTAACATGTTACTTATGGGTATTTCATCTTTTTTACTCATGTTACTTAAAGATTTGCATGAAATACATGTTCTACTAAATTCTATAGAATCTCTAATGACTGTAGGCCAATAAAAACCACACTGAAAAATTTTTACAGTTATTTTTCGTCCAGAGAAATGTCCTCCACAGCTAGATGAATGGCACATGTTAATAATGCTATGGTATTCTTCTTCAAGAACACATCTCCTTAAAATTTGATCATTGCCCAAGTAATATAAATCAGGATCATCCCAAAAATAATTTCTAGTCTTAGAAAAGAAATGATGTTTTCAATTCTTATCCCACTATTCTGGAGTTTTTCCAGAAACTAGAAAATTAACAATATGTGCATACCATGGTGATGGTTGATGTTGAGCTATCATCAATTGCTCATCTAGAAATATATCTTGTAAGGTGCTACATTTATTCTTGTATCACTTTATCTAGAAAGATGGTCAGTAACAATATTCTCAAAACCTTTTTTATCTTCTATTTCTAAGTCAAATTCTTGCAACAATAAAATCCATCTTAATAAATGTGGCTTTGCATCTTTCTTATTTAACAAATATTTTAATGCTGCATAATTAGTATAAATAATAATTTTAGCTCCCAAAATATATGATCTAAACCTTTCTAATGAAAATACTACAGTTAACAACTCTTTTTTAGTTATGATATAATTTAATTGAACATCGGATATATTTTTACTAGCATATGAAATTACTATGGGTTTTGATTCTTTTGTTTATCCTAGAACAGCCCCCACTGCATAATTTGATGCATCAAACATTATTTTAAAAGGGAGGGACCAATCAGGAGCTTGTAAAATAGGTGCCTCAATAAGTAATCTTTTTATTTTGGAGAAAGATTCAAAACATTTCTCATCAAAATTAAAAGGCACATCTTTAGATAATAGCATGCTGAGAGGTTTAGAAATTTTTGAAAAATCTTGAATAAATTTTCTGTAATAACCTACATGACCCAAGAAAGATTTAATCTGTTTTTTTAAATTTGGAGGTTTCATTTTAGATATAATATCAATTTTTACTCTATCCACGTCTAAACCCCTTTCACTCACAATATGACCCAACACAACTCCCTCTCTAACCATAAAATGTGATTTCTCCCAACTCAAAACTAACTTTTTCTCTATGCATTTCTCAAGTACATGCTGTAAATGATTTAAGTATTCATCAAATGATTCACCAAAAATAGAAAAATCGTCCAAAAAAATTTTCATATATTTTCTAATCATATCAAAAAAAATAAACAGTATACATCTTTGAAATGTGGCTAGAGCATTACACTGGTCAAAAGGCATGCATTTAAAAGCAAAAGTACCAAATGGACAAGTGAAAGTTATTTTTTCTTGATCTAAAGGGTTTATATAAATTTGATTATAACCAGAGTATCCATCTAGAAAATAAAAAAAGTTTTTTCTAGCTAAGTTTTCTAGAATTTGATCAGTAAATGGTAGGGGAAAATGATCTTTTCTAGTAACTGAATTTAATTTTCTATAATCAATACAAACCCTCCAACCGGTAGTTAATCTTGTTTGTATTTCATCCCCATTTTTGTTTTTTATAATCGTGATCCTTTATTTTTTTGGCACTATTTGTGTAGGACTAACCCATTTGCTATCTAAAATAAGATAAATAATATCAGCAGCCAGCCACTTTAAAATTTCTTTTTTTACAATTTCCATCATGTTAGGATTTAATCTTCGTTGTGGTTCCCTACTAGTTCTAGCCCCCTCCTCTAGATATATATTATGCATGCATACACTCATATCAATGCCTCTTAGATCATCTATTTTCCAGCCTATGGCCTTCTTATTTTTTCGAAGTACATCTAATAATTTTTCTTCCTGATCATCACTCAAATCAGTTGCAATAATAATAGGAAATGAATTATTTTTCTCCAAAAACATATATTTTAAACTAGAGGGAAGAGGTTTCAACTCTAAATTCAGATGATTGTCCTCTTTCTTTTCTCTCAAATTTATATTCTCTATTTCCTCTAATTCTTCCAGCACATAGTGATCAATAACATCTGAATCATCAAAATCATCTAGAAGATCTATGGTATGACAATTATATACTTGTGATTTCTTAAGATCATTTGGTACCTCAAAAATTTTAATTTCTACTGATTGATCTCCACATGAAATTTTCACAATACTTGTAGGAAAATCAATATTCATCTTTACTATATGCAAAAATGGTCTCCCTAAGATAATTGGTCTATCATAAAACTGTCCATTAAAATTTATTTCTAACAATACAAAATCAGCTAGAAATTTACACCCTTTAACTATTACTATCACATTTTTTAAAATATCTTTAGGATGTTTTATTGATCTATCAGCAAATTATAAGGTAACAGTAGAAAGTTTAAGATCAAAAATATTAAATTTATCACAAATACTTGCAAGTAATAAATTAATACTAGCACCGGTGTCAAGTAATGTATTCTGGAAAATAGATCTACTAATATCACATGAAATTAAAGGGGCACCTATATCTCTCAATTTATATGGTAATTGATTTAATAATAATGCACTAGCATGCATAGATAATTTTTCTACTCTAGGTGCCCTTTTTGGTGTACACATTTCTTTCAAAACTCTAGCATATTCAAGAATATGTTCAATAGTAGTGAGTAAAGGAAAACTAATTTGCACATCTTGTAAAATTTTCTTTATTTCTTCATTGTGTTCCTTTTTCTTTCTTTGTCTAGGCTCTAAAACTTTAGGAAATGGAATGATTGTCTTCTCTTTCGAAATTTTCTTGGTAGAATCTATAAAATCATCTTCTACTCCTATTTGATTTTGTTTTGGGTTGTCCACGTTTTCTTTTTCTTCTAATGTTTGGGGATAAAGATCAAGTAAAATCTTACTACTCCTTAATGCATTCACTGTCCTAACATTTTCATTTCGCAAGTTTTTTCTTAATTTCATGCTACTAGACTCCCCTTGCTAAAATCCTATTGTTGGGCGATTCTCTAGATTTTCTATTGGCTGACTAGGTAGCTGTCTCTCTTCTCTCTTATTCTCAAGGGCCTCTATAATTTGTTTTTGGTGCTGCATCATTTGATTCATAGTTTGTTGCATCATTTGGCTCATTTGCTGCATCATTTCCATAGTATCAAGTTGGATTTGAGAGGGCTGATTTTTCTAAAATCTATTTTCTTGTTTTGGACGAAATTCAGAGTTTGAATTGGGTCTAAGTGCTTTTGAATTTTTAATATTATTTGGATCTCTCTATGAAAATTTATTTCTCCAATTAGGATTATAAGAATTTGAAAAAGGTTCCCTATTTCTATTAAAACCGTGAGCTACTTGCACTTGTTCTTGCTTAGGGTAAAATGATTGATCTAAATTATAACATTAAAATTCAGAATAATCGTTCTCACCATACATAGGACATGTAATATTTGAATTAAATTGAGGGTTAAAAAGCTTTCTAGTATTGTCAATAAGTAAATCAAGTTTTTTTAATCTTTGATTAATCTAATTAACCTCATTTCTAAGTTTAGAATCATCATCATGATGCAATTCATAAATTCCTCTCTTCTTATCATTGTCATATAATTCAAAAGAGGCTTGATCTCTAGAATTTTCACTTAAATTCTCATAAAGATTGTAAATCTTAGTAGGAGTTTTCTCCATAAAAGCTCCTCCACATATAGAATCAACCATATTTCTATGTTGTTCTAATAATCTATCATAAAAATTTTTATTAAACTACCACTTGAGTATAGCATGATGAAGACACTTTCTAAGTACATCTTTGAATGTTTCTCATGTCTCATGTAAATTTTCTTCTAGTCTTTAAGAAAAACTCTATATATGTTTTCTCATATTTTGGGTTTTTTCTAAGAGATAAAATTTTCGAAGAAAGGCCTATTCTACATCTTTCCAGCTAGTTAATTCTCTATCTAATGTGGATAACCAATGGCTAGCTTTGTCCCTAAGTGTATGAGGAAATAATTTCATCTTAATAATTTCTGGTGTAACTTGAAGAGATTAACTAAATCACAGACCATATGAAATTTTTCTAAGTGCTGATGAGGTTCCTCTAAAGGCAATCCATGAAAATTAAAGAGCATTTGAAAAATTCTAAGATTTATTTCAAATTTAACAGGGATATAATATTTGATGCTCTTTGAAATGAATCAAGGATGTAATAATTTTTCATGGCCGTAGAATTGTTCTCAGTTTGACCTGTACTTCCTTCAGGATGCATCAAAATTAATTTTTCTTTCAGATTTTTAGTCTTGAATGAAATAATGAAAGGATTTTCTAGCTTTGGATGCAAAGATCTTCAACCATGTATAAAAAAAATCAATAAATTTGAAGAAAAAGTTTATTAATTGTTACCCTCCTTTAGTATGCTCTAGTCCTTACCTTGCTTCTTTTCGTTCCCTTTTTCTTAAAAAAAAATCAGCAAAAAGAAAATAAAATAAGAGTTAATTTTTTTTTATGTACTCTAAGAGAAAACTAGAAAAATACTAAATATTATGCAATACATCCCCGGCGCCAAAATTTGACGTGACTTAGTCATTGTATATTAAATCACGCAAATATAAAATTTATAAAGCTAGAAAATATGAATTTTTAGATATTTAGAAGTATTTTTGAACAAATATATCAATTATAATTCAATAAAAGTTCCAAAAATAGCGGTAATTTTCTAGGTCAATTATAGGGATGTAATACAATATCTAGTAGTTATTCAAAAAAAAATTCAATAAATAGGAGTTTTTATAAATTTTATATTAGGAAATGAAAAGGAAATATATTTAAAATTCACGAAAAAAGGGAAATAAGGGTGTGGACATCAAGATGACATCAATGCCCAGTGAACACGAATTGGGCAGAAATAGAGTTCTGCTTGGCGATTCTTATGTAAGCAATTATAGACAATTACATCTAGATCTCCTTTCGAAGTCTAGAGATCAATGGAATGGGTCGTTGACTCGTCTCCGGCAGCTGTCATCAGGCAGAGCGAAAAAACAACTACTTTGCGGCTCTCTGGCGGCTGTCACCCAATGGAGAGGAGTTGGATGGAGGTGGGGCACATGTTAGGGAGCTTCATCTTCAAGTCTGCGTAGCAAGAGGAGGCTCTTCATCACATCTGGTATGCTCTCAAGAGGTGGTGACTCCTCTCCTGGTGGATCATCCTCTTTCCAACGACGGCTTATTTGTCAATCAATCAGAGATGATTTACTCGATAGATTCGAGATCTTTTTATCGCGAATCGTTCAACAATTTTAGTAGCAATGCTCTGCAAATCACGTTGATGAGATTTTCATTGATGATCTAGCAATTCTCGTTGCTTAATCTTTCACCAACGATCTGTAGGAAAGTCACGATGATTAGATAAAAATATATGACTTTTGACTCTAGAAGGACTCGAACTTGCGCTGGTCGCCCGCCTCTTTTGAGGAAGGTGTGACACGGGTTTAGTCCCATATCGGTTGTGTGCTGATAAGTCTTCATTATCATGAGTTAATAATTAGTAAATAATATAGTTTTAGCCTTAACTCATGATAAATAGACTTATATTTGTGTTAAAGCATGAAAAGTGGTTTTCAGTTGATTAACGTGAATTTTTGGGTAATTATGTGATTTTATACGATTTTTACAGTCTTAGTTTTGAGATAAATGAAGAACAAGAAATAAAAATAAAAATATTGCAAAATGGGGGAGATCCGCCGGCCAGCCGGGCCCGCAAGCGGGTCGGAAGCGCAGTCGGGGAGTAGCCGCGAGCAGGGGCTCGAGCGGCTTGCTTGGATCGATAGGGGCACGTGTGCGCCACTCCCCTTCCACGTCACCGGTGGTCAGCCGGCTGTGGGGCAAGGAGTGGTCGTACACGCGAGAGGACTTTGCCTACAAAGCTAACTTTACTATATATTTGCCCGAATAATCCGCGTACAACCGATGTGGGACTAAACCTTCAGGGGCGGGCGACCGCCGCAGGTTCGAATCCTCCCAGAGTCAAAATTCATATATTTTTAACTGATTATCGCGACTTTCCTGCAGATCGCCGGTGAAGGATTAAGCAACCGGAATCGCTGGATCATCGGCGAAAATCTCGTCAACGCGATTCGCGGAGCATTGCTACTAAAATTTCTGAACGATTCGCGATAAAAGGATCGCAATCCATCGAGTAAATCATCTCCGATTGATCGACGAACAAGCCGTCGTCGGGAAGAGGACGATCCGCCGGGAGACCAGTCGCCACCTCCTGAGAGTGTACCAGATGCGATGAAGAGCCTCCTCTTGCTGCGCGGACCTGAGGATGAAGCTCCCTAACACGCGCCTCACCTCCATCCAGCCCCTCTCCGTCGGGTGACAGCCGCCGGAGAGCCGCAAAGTCGCCGTTTTTCCGCTCCGCCGGGTGACAGCCGCCGGAGACGATTCGACGACCCACTTCATTGGTCTCTAGACTTCGCGAGAAGATCTAGAGATTGCCCACGTCGTCTTTGTCCAAGGAGAGCCTTCGAGGCCGTGGACACTGCACGACGATCCTCCCGAACGCTCAGGATTCCGGTGCATCGCCGACGCATCGTCGTCGCGACGCCGAACTCTGTTTTCCTGCTTTCAATTTAATTTACGCTTCATTTAGTGATACTTTGTTGATTTTAATTTACCAAACTATACTTCGTTCAATTACGATTCTTCCGGCTTTTACAGATCTTAATTTGATTAATTGAGTCGTCTGTAATCGCCTACGTAAGAATCGCCGGGCGGAACTCTGTTTCCGCCTGATTCGCGTTCGCCGGGCGCTGACGTCATCCTGACGTCCGCACCCTTATTTCCTCTTTTTTTTGTGAATTTTAAATATATTTCCTTTTTATTTCATAGTATAAAATCCGTAAGAAAATCGTACTCATTGAGAAAAATTCTGAATAATTACCAGATATTATATTACATCCCTGTGATCGACCTGGAAAATTACCACTATTTTTGAGATTTTTATTGAATTATAATTGATCTATTTATTTTGAAATACTTCTAAATATCCGAAAATTCGTATTTTCTAGTTTTATAAATTTTAAATTTGCGTGATTTAACATACAACGACTGAGTCACGTCATGTGCCGATTTTTTGGACGAATATATAGTAATGTTAGCTTTCTAAGCAAAGTCACTTCTCTCGCATGTACGACCACTCCTTGCCCCACAATCGGCAGGCCACTAGTGACGTGGAAGGAGAGTGGTGCAAACGTGCCCCTATCGGTCCAAGCCGCTCGAGCCCCTGCTCGCGGCTACTCCTTGACTGAGCTTCCGACCCACTTGCAAGTCCCCCCGTTTTACAATATTTTAGTTTTATTTCTTTTTCTTCATTTATCTCAAAGGTAAGACTGTAAAAATCATATAAATTCGTATAAAATCACATAATTACCCAAACAATCACATTAATCAACTAAAAACCACTTTTCACACTTTAACACAAATATAAGTCTATTTATCATGAGTTAAGGCTAAAACTATATTATTTACTAATTATTAACTCATGATAATGAAGACTTATCAGAATGCTATGATATTCTTCTTCACAAACACATCTCCTTAAAATTTGATCATTGCCTAAGTAATATAAATCAGGATCATGCCAAAAATAATTTATAATCCTAGAAAAGAAATGGTGTTTTTTATTCTTATCCTATTATTTTGGAATTTTTCTAGAAACTAAAAAATTAATAATATGTGCATACCATAGTGATGGTTGATGTTGTGCTGTCATCAATTGTTCATTTGGAAATGCATCTTGTAAAGGTACTACATTTATTCTTATATCACTCAATCTAGAAAGATGGTCAATAACAACATTCTTGGAACCATTTTTATCTTTTATTTCTAAATCAAATTCCTATAATAATAAAATCAATCTTAAAAAATATGGTTTTGCATCTTTCTTATTTAAAAAATATTTTAATACTACATGATTAGTATAAATAATAATTTTAGCTCTCAAAATATATGATCTAAATCTTTCTAATGAAAATACTATAGCTAATAATTCCTTTCAGTCGTGATATAATTTAATGGAGCATCGAATATAGTTTTACTAGCATATGAAATTACTTTAGGTTTTCACTCTTTTCTTTATCCTAGAATGACTCCCACTACATAATTCGATGCATCACACATTATTTCAAAGAGAAGGGACCAATCAGGAGTTTGTAAAATGGGTCCCTTAGTCAGTAATCTTTTTATTTCAGAAAAAGATTCAAAACATTTCTCATCAAAATTAAAAGGCACATATTTAGATAATAACATGATGAGAGGCTTAGAAAATTTTGAAAAATCTTGAATAAAACTTCTATAATAACTTACATGATGCAAGAAAGATCTAATCTATTTTACTGAATTTCAAGGTTTCATTTTAGATACAATATCAACTTTTACTTTATCTACCTCTAAACCCTTTTCACTCATAGTATGACCTAACACAACTCCCTTTCTAATCCTAAAATGTGATTTCTTCCAACTCAAAACTAATTTTTTCTCTATACATATCTCAAGTACATGCTGTAAATGATTTAACATTCATCAAATGATTCACCAAAAATAGAAAATCGTCCATAAAAGTTTTCATACCTTTTCTAGTCATATTAGAAAAAATAGACAACATACATCTTTGAAATGTGGCTGAAGCATTATGTAGACCAAAAGGCATGCATTTAAAAGGAAAAGTACCAAATGGACACATGAAAGTTATTTTTTCTTGATCTAAAGGGTTTATATAAATTTGCTTATAACTAGAGTATTCATCCAAAAAATTAAAAAAAAAAATTCCAACTAATTTTTCTAGAATTTGATCAATAAACGGTAGGAGAAAATAATATTTTATAGTAACTGAATTTAATTTTTATAATCAATGCAAACCCTCCAAAAAGTAATTAACCTTGTTTGTATTTCATCCTCATTTTCGTTTTTTATAATTCTGATCTCTTATTTTTTTGGCACCACTTGTGTAGGATTAACCTATTTGTTATGTGAAATAGGATAAATAATTTTAGCAGCCAGCCACTTTAAAATTTCTTTTTTTACAATTTCCATCATGTTAGGATTTAATCTTCGTTATAGTTCCTTGCTAGTTCTAGCCCCCTCCTCTAGATATATACTATGCATGCATACACTCATGTCAATGCCCCTAAGATCATCCATTTTCTAACCAATAGTCTTCTTATTTTTTTGAAGTACATCTAATAATTCTTCTTCTTATTGATCACTTAAACAGCTGCAATAATGATAGGAAATGAATTATTTTCCTCCAAAAAACAAATATTTAAAACTAGAGGGAAGAGGTTTCAACTCTAAATTTAGATGATCTTCTTCTTTCTTTTCTCCTCTAATTCTTCCAACATAGTCATCAATAACATCTAGATCATCAAAATCATTTAAAAGATCTACGATATAACAATCGTATACTTGAGATTTCTTAAGATCATTTGATACTTCAAAAATTTTAATTTCTACTGATTTATCTCCACATGAAATTTTCACAATACTTGTGAGAAAATTAATATTCATCTTTATTATATGCAAATATGGTCTCCCTAGGATGATTGGTGTATTATAAAACTGTCCATTAAAATCAATTTTCAACACTATAAAATCAGTTTAAAATTTACTCCCTTTAACTATCACTATCACATTTTCTAAAATACCTTTAGAATGTTTTATTGAGTTATCATCAAATTGTAAGGTAATAGTAAAAGGTTTAAGATCAATAATATTAAATTTATCACAAATATTAGTAGAAAATAAATTAATACTAGCACCAGTGTTAAGTAATATATTCTGAAAAATGAATCCACTAATATCACATGAAATTAAAGGGGCCCTGGTATCTCTCAATTTATATGGTAATTGATTTAATAATAAAACACTAGCATGGATAGATAATTTTTCTACTCTAGGTGCCCTTTTTGGTGTACATATTTCTTTCAAAACTCTGCATATTTAGGAATATGTTCAATGGTAGTAACTAAAGGAAGACTAATTTGCACATCTTGTAAAATTTTCTTTATTTCTTCATTGTGTTCTTTTTTCTTTCTTCGTCTAAGCTCTAGAGCTTTATGAAATAGAATGGTTGTCCTTTCTTTTGAAATTTCCTTTGTAAAATCTATAAAATCTTCTTCTACTCCTATTTGGCTTTATTTTCGACTGTCCATGTTTTTCTTTTCTTCTAATGTTTGGAGATAAGGATCAGGTAAAATTTCTCCACTCCTTAATACATTCACTGTCCTAACATTTTTATTTTGTGGGTTTTTTCTTAGATTCATGCTACTAGACTCCTCTTGCTGAAATCTTATTGTTAAGCGGTCCCCTAGATTTTCTCTAGGCTGACTAAGTAGTTGCCTCTCTTCTCTCTTATTCCCAAGAGGCTCTACAATTTGTTTCTACTGCAACATCATTTGATTTATAGTTTGTTACAACATTTGACTCATTTATGGCATCATTTCTATAGCATTAGGTTAGATTTGGGAGGGCTGATTTTTCTGAAATCTATTTTTCTATTTTGGACAAAATTTAGAGTCTAAATTAGGTCTAAGTGCTTCTGAATTTTGAATAATATTTAGGTCTTTCATGAAAAATTATTTCTCTAATTAGGATTATAAGAATTAAAAAAAACTCTCTATTTTTATTAAAATCGTGAGCTACTTGCACTTATCCTTGCATAAGGTGGAATGATTGATCTAAATTATAACATTGAAATTTAGAATAATCATTTTCATCATACATAGGACATGTACTATTTGAATTAAATTGAGGGTTAAGAGGCTTTCTAATATTGTCAATAAGTAAATTAAGTTTTTTTTAATATTTAATTAATCTGATTAACCTTATTTCGTAAGTTAGAATCATTTTGATGATGCAATTCATAAATTCTTCTTTTCTTATCTCTATCATATAATTAAAAAAAGGCTTGATATCTAAAATTTTCACTGAAATTCTCATAAAGATTGTAAATCTCATCAAAGGTTTTTTCCATAAAAGCTCTTTCACATATAAAATCAACCATATTTCTATGTTATTCTAATAATCCATCATAAAAAATTCTATTGAGTTATCACTTAGGTATAGCATAATGAAGACACTTTCTAAGTAAATCTTTGAATTTTTCCCATGTTTCATTCAAAGTTTCTTTTAGTCTTTGAGAAAAACTTTATATATATTTTCTCATATTTTGAATTTTTCCTAGAGGATAAAATTTTGAAGAAAACCTATTCTATGTCTTTCTAACTAGTTAATTCTCTATCTAATGTGGATAGCCAATGACTAACTTTGTCCCTACGTGTATGAAGAAATAATTTCATCTTAATAAAAGTTAGAAGAGTCATAATTGAATGAAGTATAGCTTGTTAAATTTAAATTGTAGAAATTATTACTAAATGAAGTAGAAATTAAGTTGAAAGTAGAAAGTTAGAGTTACATTGTCGCGACGTTGATGCGTCAGTGATGCACCAGAATCCTAATTATTCAAGAGAACTATCATGTAGTGTCTAAAGCCTCGAAGTCTCTCCTTGGATAAGGACAATGTGGACAATCTCTAGATCTCCTTACAAAGTCTAGAGATCAATAAAATAGGTCGTCGAATTATTTTTGACAGTTGTCATTTGACAGAGTAGAAAAATAACAAGTTTGTAACTTTTTGGTGGTTGTCACCTAACAGAGAAGAGCTAGATAGAGCTAAGGCACGTGTCAGGGAGCTTCATCCTCAAGTTTACACAACAAGAAGAGGCTCTTCATTGCATCAGGTATGCTCTCAAGAGGTGACGACTCATCTCTTTACGGATTGTCCTCTTGTCAACGACAACTTGTTCATCGATCAATCAGAGATGATTTATTTGATGGATTCACAATCCTTTTACTATGAATCGTCTAGCAATTTTACTAACAATACTCCATGAATTGTGTTGACGAGATTTTCACCAATGATCTAGTGATTTTGGTGGCCTAATCTTTCACCGGTAATTTGTAAGAAAGTTGTGATAATCAAATAAAAATATAACTTTTGACTTTAGGAGGATTCAAACCCGTGCTAGGTGCCTGCCTACATGAGAGAGATTAAAATACATACCCTAAGGCCCTTATTAAGTGACATCATCATGGTATATCTCTATTATAACTAAGGGGTAATTTAGGTAGTAAAGTCTTCAAAGCCTTTTGCAGGAAGGTGTGACACGAGTTTAGTCTGACATTACTTGTGCGTCAAGGTTTTAGGTGAATACATAGTAATATCATATTTGCAAACAATATATCCCTTTCTCCCGTGTGTACGACCACTCTTTGTCCCACAATTGGTTGGCCACTAGTGACGTGGAAGGGGAGTGGCACATATGTGTCCCCATCGACTCTAGCCACTCAAGTGCCCCTACTCCTAGCTCCCCTCTATTGTACTTCTGACCTACTTGTGGGCTCGGTTGACTAATGGGTCCCCTCATTTTACTATGTTTTTATTTTAATTTCTTTTTCTTTATTTATCTCAAAAAAGGACTATAAAAATTATATAAATTCGTAGAAAATTACATAATTAACCAAAAATTTATGTTAATCACTTTTCATAATTTAACATAAATATAAGTCTATTTATCATGAGATAAGACTAAAAATATAATATTTACTAATTATTAACTTATGATAATAATGACTTATAAGCTCACTATCAGATCTAACTTTAGTCTATTACATGGCAATGAAGCATTAAATGCTCGAACTTTAGTATGAAATTGAATTCATTATTTTTTCATCAACAAGTAGATTCTTTACTTTAATTGTTAGCTCTTTGCTTGTAGGCATGTGCCACTTGCATTGACGAAAGCACTGGATGTCTAGGCTTAGTTTAGTAAACGTCAGGTTCCCTCGATGAACTCAACAGCATTAACTATTATTTTTGGAAATATCGAATGGAAATGTTTAAAACCAGACTGCCGCCCATCTCCTGGAACGAATTGACGCGGTCCCAGGAAGCAGGCAAACACGCGCGTAGCCTATTTGTGAGGACAGCAGGAATAAACTTTTTCAGCACTAGGCGACTGCCGTGCTCTTTTATTTCATACGATTTATTTATGGGGGGCCGTCAGTACACACATGATGAGAGCACTAACTGGAGGCGAGTTCAGTAGACAGCACTCAGCCAACATGACCACGCTCAGCACATTATGCGGAAGCTGTTATAGGCGTAGGGAGAGCAACGGCGGACGTCCCTGCCGACGGAGTCATAGGAGCCTTGGCAGTTCGACCCGCGGTAGAGCCTACCCACCTGGCCCCCCGAGTAGTCGAAGAAGTAGCCTCCCTTGTAGCCGGCGAGGTTGTAGCACGCACCACATCCCCACCTTCTGCGGTTCCCACTGCAACCCGACTGCGAATAACCCGTCATGCTGCTGGCTGACGCCGGGGCGACGGCGACGGCTACGATAAGCAACAGGAGTACGGCAGCTGCCGCGGCGACCGGGGTCTTGCAGGCGGCGGCCATATCCTTTCTTAGGCGATGGTAGGACTTGAGAAGAATCCGAAAGTATGGGTACCTCAGGGGGTTTTGTGCCTGTCGAGCGGTAATGAGCTGCTGTTCCCCCGGCCCCGATCCGTGCTATTTATAGTAAGTAGTAGGGTGGGCCGGAAGGAACTACGCGCGTCGTCGCAGATGTTTCGTTGTATATTTCGTCACCAGGGAAAGACGTCAATGCGTACGCATATGTCAATGGCAGGGCGCTCGTTAGTCTTATCTGACGTTTGGCGAACAGGTCGCCGCATCTTTTCTTGCTGACCTCTTCTTCCCTTCCCCATGACCCAGCAGAGTCGTGCAGCAGATAGGTGGCTATTTTTGGGGTACGAAAATCTTTCCAAGGATAAGGTAAACAAGAAAAAAATGCAGCCACGAAGTGGGCCATTGTTCTCGTCTCCACGCATCTATTTCGTCCCAATGTCTGGTTTCTACCTGGTCGGCTTTATTCTTATTCGTCCTGGATATGTTGCCGCCTACCAACTGCAAGGGTATTCTGGTTACCAGATACCAACTTGAAAAATCGGTACCTGTGAAAATTAGTGCTCCAACGAATGGAGCCACGTGTCTGAAAATAATACGATTTTGTTGCCCGCAGCCTAGTGTGTAAATCTTAACCTAATAGCGGCCGTAAACGTTATTCATACGCATCCTCAGCACTCAAACCTAGTTTCTCCAAAGTAAGGTGGTCCTAAGTCTCCGTTGGCGGCTCTTGACAAGGTCACTGCTTGTTTTTCTTATCTACTTCCTACCTGGAAAAACTTTCATATCCTGCAAAACATTAATTTCTTTGTGGAAAATTCACACCAGTGGGTGCAATATCTGGAGCTATGTTACTGCTGAAATTACTATCTTAGGTTCAACAACATTCGATTATACAGGCCGTTGGGTCTCGCTACAAAGTGAACCATCACCTTGGTGAAGTCTAAGCCATCTCCCAGAAGATTTGTGTTCAATATTGAAAGCCTGAACCATCCTACAGTCGATATAACCACATTATTTTAAAACGCGATAATTCCAAAAAAACTGGAGTCAACGAAAGCGGAGATACATAAGTTTCGTAAAGATTGAACATGTCATGAGTCATATTTCGACTAATTTGACAACACGAAGTCATCAAGAAAATGCGAACCTGTCAGTCTTGGAAAGGAAAAACTGAGGTGCACAGAGGACCTGCTTGCACGAGTAACTCCACAATGAAGTCGTCTACGATGAACGTTTAAAATGTTAACCTGTTCAAACAATGTACTGGCTAAGACTTGGATACTTTGAATGATGGTAACATGAGACTAGGACAAAAGGGGATACTTCACTTAAGAAAACGGTGTGGCAGCACTTCCATCCGTCGCCGCCCTTGACTTTGCATCGCACTCGACGGGAAGGTCAACAAGAAAAAGCTCCAAATATCTGATGTGGCCCCGTCAAATAGGCATTTTGATGACTTTATCCCGCCAATTTTTTGTGAATGTAATGGTCAAAACCAGTGCAGAGCACTGTACACCCAAAAAAAATGGAAATCCTAAGTATCACTAAGTATCAAACGAGTAGGAGGAAAAAAATCAGGGTTGATGGCACCAAGAGTGGTGAGTTTAATTCTAATTGAACTTGTCTAAAGAAAAGGAAATTGGAGGGTAGATTCAAGATGATATCTTCTGCACGAAATTTGAATAAGAAGTCGAGCATGTGAAGTTTTGATTTGCAAGGTTGGCGTAGAGAACTCACTAGGATTCTATACCTTTCCCAATAAATGTTTCAAGCTTTTTCAAACCTCACCAAGGATTCATCGAATGTGTATTGTTGAGGAATTTAATCACAAACCATGGTCTACTGAAGGTTGTACATACACAAATAGTGTTCTGGACGAAGGAGGCTGTTTATAGCAATTGACTGATTCTTTGACAATGACAGGTTAATTACCCTAAAGATACCTCTGCTCTGTTTTTGAGAGGGAAAATCCAAAACCACTACTTTGCGACAACTCACTCCGAAGTAAGACTATGCATTGGTTATCGAGATGTCAAATGCAGTGGTTTTGGATTTCACTTGAGTCAAATGATTGATAAGATGTAGCCTCAGATGCTGGGAATAAATCGTCTCCCCGTGTCATGTAGCACACTCTTTCAGAACTTTTGCCTCATGCTCACTTGACGGTTATGCTTGTCACAAAAATGACGCCATTTCAAAGTATTCCATTTTAATTTATTGATTTATAGTAATTCTTTACGCTTCATTAATGGAAAACAATGGTCATAGGCTGTATGGTACATTGGAGATCACTTGACTTAACCGAGGCTTACAATTTACTTCGCAGTCAGAACAAATGTCTTGTTTGATGCACTATTTCAGAATCTAATAAAGTAATTAAAAAAAATCCAAAGCTCCGAACATTGGACTAGCTAGTGTGAATCTTTATTAAACTTATGAAGGCTTTACAAGCCGAAATTCTCAACATGATTATATTTAACTTTATTAGCATTGGCTTGAGTGTGGTGTGATGAATTTATATTTAACTTACTATTCTTTTATGATTTATGTTAAATAAATATATTTTTCATTTTTAATCCATGTGCTAACATGATTATCCAAGGTTTATAGTCTTGAGAATTATTTTAAAATTGAAAAAAAATACTCATGAAGTTCAAATTGGAAAATAGATTTATCTTGAAAATTTTAGGGAATTTATGAAGACATGTTTTCAGCTATTTTTTGTAATCTACAAATTATCAAGATAATGAGAATATAATATAAAAGTTCATGATCACATCACGATGAAGATATATTAAGGGTTTATGGGACAAGTTGGTAAATTTGGGCCACATTAACAGGTCATGTGATGTCATCCAAGTGTAGGTTATCTTCTCTACTCTATTTTGGGTGGTGAAATGGACGAAGATAATTCTGGTTTTCACAATGATTTTTGATATATTATTGCATGAAAATCAGAAAGAAGCTCTACAGAAAAGGGAGGAATCTTTCTAGATGATAAAGAGTAGAAGATTAGTGGGCTTTGCAAGATTTTCAAGCCAAGTTCTCTTTGGTTATAGGTGGAGACAAGCAGAGCAATGTTAGTTATTTACAAGTTTGATTTCTCCTTTTATTACATCTATTTTCGTTCCTTATTAATCCATTGTCTGTGCAACACACAAACAATGAGATTAAGGCTTTCAATCTATTTATTTTTTTCCACTTTTTAGACAATTTGACATTCATTTTCTGGTACTCTATCTTTTGGTGATAGTTGAGTAGAGTGATAGATGGTGTTTGCGAATTAGGTTTCCAATTGACTTGATTTTATTTTCGTTTTAGCTTATTTCATCATCTGGGTGATATAGATGACATCATTAAGCATTTAAATTGGCATTTTCATTTCCATTCCATTTTCTCTGTACAATGATACTCTATTCTTGGGTAACCAACATGGATGGGTTTGTGGCTTTATTTCCATTTTTTATTTTCCCTTCTAATTTTACTATTTCTTATGAAAATTGACTTTTTTCTGACCATTTTCGTATATTTATTTCAAAATATCAGTTATCATTTATCAGTAGTTGACTCAAGTTTATTTTCCTTTTTCACTTCCAATGGAGAAACCCCACTAGTGGTCGTATTTTCTCTCTCCTCCCATGTTTTCCTGATTTTAGGTGTATGTTCTATCATTTAATTCTCTTTTACTTTTTTGCTTTTCTCCTCCATTTTCTTTGGAATATTTTGCAGTCTTGAGTCATTTATCACTTCTGAATATCAGCAATGATTAAAATTGAATATATAGAGCTCAAGTAATTTGCAAATTTTAATTGTGGAGAAGATTATTTTCTTTTTTTATCCTTTTTTACATCTTTTTATTTTAGTAAAATTCTTTAGAATGAAAAAAAATACACATTGAGATTGACCATCATCCCTGTGGATGACCTGATTTCACCAAACTTTAATTTTAATTATTTTTCGAATTCAGTATAAAATATTTAAAATTTGATAATTTTGTTCACAACAATAGAAGTGTTATCAAGATGAAGGCAAAGCTGATTGGTAGGCTTTAATGACTGTTTAATAATATTATTATTGATAGTGTTAATGTGACACAAGATTTGGATGATTGTATTAAAATATTACACATGTAGTTGGGCCATATGACTGACATAGGTTCGGACTTGAGAAAGCATGATTTTCTTGTGAATGAAAATACTAAAAAAACCTAGATTTTGGTGTGTATTATGCCTTTGGAAAGTGATGGAAGGTGAAATTTAATGCTAAAATTCATAGAACTAAGGGTATTATGGGTTACATCCACTTTGATTTTTTGGTTTCTACTCTAGTTATCTTGAAAGATGGTGCAAGTTATTTGATACCCTTCATTCATGACTTTTGATGGAAAGCTTAAGTCTACTTTCTGAAGGAGAGGAGTGAGGAGACTTTCACCACATTCAAGCAATGAAAGACATTGATTGAATAATAAATTGACAAGCTAATCAAATGTCTCTGTACAAACAATAGTATGAAGTTTTCCTTGAATGAATTTGATGAGTTGTACAATAATGAAGGCATCATTCAACATCACACTATAGTGAAGATACCACAACAAAATGGTGTTGTGAAAGAAATGAACATAATAATTTTATAAAACGCAAGAAGTATGTCATCTTAAGCAAGGATATCAAATAATTTTTGGGCAGAAGTTCTCAACATGGCATATTACTTAGTGAATAACTTTTTTTTTATAGCTATTGAGTTGGAAACTCTTGAAGAGGTGTTGTTCGATTCTTCTCTAATTATTTTCACTGAACACTTTTCAGTTGTATTGACTAGCAATTGTCTCAAGTGACAAGTTGGAGCTAAGTGCAAAGAAGTAAATTTTCACAGGATATACACAAATAGAGGTTGCAAAGCCATATTTGGTTGGTGTACTGATCATCAATCATCTAAGTTCATGACCAAGAGATATGGGACCTTTGATGAATTTGTGATGCTCAGAGTGGGAGAAAATTCAAGAATGGAAAATAGAGATCAAATTAGTAACAAATAAGAAGAGCTAGAGGTGAAGCTCTAAAAAGATAATGTATGATAAGAGGAGATAATGTAAATATAAGGTGTACTAGAGAGTAGTACCATACACCAAGTCCCTAGAAGTTTAAATTTCTGAAAAATAAGTAGCAAAAGATGATTAGGTCACCTAATTGGTATTCTAACATGGTAGTTTTTGCTCTATGGGTTATTGGTGAAGTTCATGGTGACAAAAAATGTTCTTGATAAAAGACTATTACTTCAAATGAATCTTATAAGTGTAATAGAAGAGGAGATGGAGTCTATATAGAAGAACAACACACGTAAATTATTGAAAGTAATATCTGGTGAAAAGATTATAGTGTATAAATAGACTTTGAAAAAATTAAAGAATCATGACTAGTTAGGTGCTAGATTTAAGACATGTTTGGTGGTAAAGGATTTCACATAGTGAGAGGGCATTGATTCGAATTAGGTATTCTATCTTGTGGTGAGACATACATCAATTCATGTTTGACTTGCTATTTTTGATTTAAAATAGTTAGATGTTAAGAGTATATTCTTACATAGTGAGATAGAAAAAGAAACCTGCATTTATCAACCATAAAGTTTTATAGTTCTTAACTAATGAAAACTACATATTCTTATTTTAGAAATATTTATTAATTGAAATAATTTATAAGACAGTGGTACCAGAGGTTTGATACATTTATGCTAAGTCATAATGTTGTTTGAACTTATTATGATAGTTGTGTATATCACAAAAAGCCTCTAAATAATTGATTTATTTATTTGTTATTATATCTTGATGATGTAATAACTTTTACTAAAATATTTCAAATATTGATCATTTGAAATCTTAATTAAGAAATGAATTTGAGATAAAAGATCATAGAGTAGAAAAGAAAAAGTTGGGTATACAAATATATAGAGACTGCAACACTAGAAGGTTGTACTAGTTTCAAAAGTAGTATGTGGACAAAATATTAAAGTGGTGCAGCATAAAAGAGTTCATGACTATAAGTATTCCACTATTGGCTCATTTTAAATTGTCACTTGAAGATTTATTGAAGATGAAGAAAGAAATGCAGGTGACGAGAAAAATTTCATATATGAGTGTAATTGGTAACATCATGTATGCTATGAAATGCACTCAACCTATCATTTCTCATGTTGTTAGTATGACTAGCAAGTGTATGAAACATCTAAGAAAGGTCTACTAGAAGATTGTAAACAGATACTTCATTACATTAGAGGTGCTTCAGATTTGAGCTTAGTATTTTAAAAACGTAGTGACATTAGTCAATTTTTTAATCATGTCAGTTAAGATTACGTTGGCAATTGAGATAAGAAGAGATTTTTGATAGATTATATCTTTACTCTCTTAGATTGCATTGTTAATTGAAAGGCAATTTTACTGCCTATTGTGACTTTCTTGATGATAGATGTATAATATACTTCTCAAAATGACCATCTTAAAAAAATTATGTTGCACTATTTTAGAACTCTCTTCTATAATATTGTTCCCTAATTTTGCCTTGTCCCAACAATAGGCTTCAATATATTAATATTTCTTACAAAATTAAAATTAAGTTATTCATTTGATTTTGACTATTACCACACTCATGTTTCTCATGTACGAAGTTGAATCTACTATAACCTCTTTCAAAGCCTCAATTGTGATGAGTTCCTCTACCTCTATTATCATATCATTGATTAGCAATGTCTTTACAATTTTTCTCCTGTTCTTAAATTTCAAGTTTAACTTAAAATACCTAGTTTTGAGATTTTCTAACATATTTATTTATTTTTCTTAATGTGTTAATAAAAAAACTCATTTATTTATTAAAGGATAAATAGATAGTCCTTCAACTCTATAATAGCTATAGTAATAGTACCAAACTTATATGAAAACTTCTGAATAAGTTGTTAAGATTTTTATTTTTTTAATATCTGTTTTAAAATATTCTCAAATTATTAAGAATAAATGGAACACGAGGAAATAAGTCTGAGAAAGATTCACAATGTTTCATAAAAAGAATTTCAAATTTTTAATAGGTAGTTTGAGGTTTTATTTTGTAACCTTATTATCTCTATGAAATTTATCTTTCCAAATTTTCTATGTTTCTCAAGAAATTATCGTAAATAGCAAGACTGGATATTTAATGCAAAATAGTCAAAAGGAGAGGAAAAACGCATCAATGGCTGAATGTGACATTCATTACCTTTTTTAAGAAAACATTGTTAGGGTAAAGGGTGGCATCCCACTTTTGAGCCTTTTCTACCATATTTAAATACTCTCTCTCTCCTCTTTGTATGTGCTTCAAAACATTTTGATTTTAAGTGTTTTTTCTATCCAATGAACTACTCTCTATTCTCTCATTCAATCAATTTATAGCCTTTTTTCCTTAAAAAGTGTGATCAGAACCTTAGATTCATCATATTTGATATTTTCTGCCAAGGAGGTCATTAAAACGTCATCAGAGCTTGAAGAAAGAGGTTAGTAAAGTCATGAAGATTTTTTATTATAGCAAAGGACATGAACTACTTGCATGAGGATTTTTGGAAGAGATTACTGAATTGATTGTGAATATGTTGAATGGTTACCCTCTGAAATTTTTATAATCTTATGTCATTTTATAATCGAGAGAAATATGAATCTTGAATTATTAAGATCAGGATATTCTTTATTTTGCATGAGTTATGAGAATTAGTTGAGAATGGCCATAAAGAAGGAAGAATTCAATACAACATGGTAAGGAACTTTGTAAGGAAGATGCTAAGGCCTTTTTTGTATTGCAACATGTCCTATTAGAGGAGAGTTTTTCTATGAGATGATAAAGGTAAATTTTGAAAGTTATATTTTATAAAGGTAATAAGGTTACAAGAATTAAATTTCCAAGAATTGTTCTAGTGAAATCTAGTGAATATGTTCAAGAATTGTTCTCTCATGTTTCATTTATTTTAAATGATATAATAACATTTGGGAATATATTACTGAAATGAAAAATGTTATAAAGGTATTGAGAACCCCTCTATTTAAGTTTTATAATGTTATTATAGCTATTGAAAAGTATATGGACTTGGCTTTTTAAGAACACATGAAGAAAAAATGATAGACTCATAGAGCATTTTTTTGCATCAGAATTTAGGATAAAATTAAAAATTTTAAAAAATAAAAATAAAGAAGTCAAATCTAATGAATGTCATGATAATACAAATATTTGAAGATGAGCTTTCCATCTAATTTTGTGGATAAGGAAGAAGGTATAATATATCTAATTTTGTATGTTAAGGGTATGATAATGGTAATATTCAACATAAAATATGAAATAAAAAAAATACATCTCTTAAGTAAGAAGTTCTAATTGAAGGTAGGAATAGTGTTAAAATTGAAGGTATTAAAACTAGAGTTGTCGTAAAAAGATTACATGTAAATAAATTGATTAATGATGTATATTGTTTTCCAAAATTAGCATGCAATCTACTCAATATGGGTCAATTGATGAAATGAGATTATTGACGTGACTGACGTGACTTAGTCATTGTATATTAAATCACACAAATATAAAATTTATAAAACTAGAAAATATGAATTTTTAGATATTTAGAAGTATTTCTAAATAAATATATCAATTATAATTCAATAAAACTTTTAAAAATAGAAATAATTTCTCAAGTCAATCATAGGGATGTAATATAATATTTTATAATTATTCAGATTTTTTCTCAATGAATACAATTTTCTATGAATTTTATACTAGGAAATGAAAAGGAAATATATTTAAAATTCACAAAAAAAAAGAAAATAAGGGTGCGGACGTCAAGATGACGTCAACGCTTGGCGAACGCAAATCGGGTAGAAACAGAGTTCTACTTGGCGATTCTTACATAAGCGATTACAGACGATTTAATTAATCAATATAAGATTTGTAAAAGCCGAAAGAATCGTAATTGAACAAAGTATAGTTTGGTAAATTAAAATCACACAAAGTATTACTAAATGAAGCGTAAATTAAATTTAAAGCAGGAAAAAAGAGTTCCGGTGTCGCGACGGCGATGCGTCGATGATGCACCGGAATCTTGAGCGTTTGGGAGGATCATCGTGCAGTGTCCACGGCCTCAAAGGCTTTCCTTGGACAAAGACGACGTGGGCAATCTCTAGATCTTCTCGCGAAGTCTAGAGATCAATGAAGTGGGTCGTCGAATTGTCTCCGGCGGCTGTCACTTGGCAGAGCAGAAAAATGGTGACTTTGCAGCTCTCTGGTGGCTGTCACCCGATGGAGAGGAGCTGGATGAAGGTGGGGCGCGTGTTAGGGAGCTTCATCCTCAAGTCTACGCAGCAAGAGGAGGCTCTTCATCACATCTGGTACGCTCTCAAGAGGTAGCGACTCATCTCCCGGCGGATCGTCCTCTTCCTGACGACGGCTTGTTCGTCGATCAATCGGAGATGATTTACTCGATGGATTTGTGATCCTTTTATCATGAATCGTTCAATAATTTTAGTAGCAATGTTCTGCGAAGCACGTTGACGAGATTTTCACTAATGATCCAGCGATTCTCGTTGCTTAATCCTTCACCGACGATTTGTAGGAAAGTCGTGATAATTAGATAAAAATATATGAATTTTGACTTTGGGAGGATTTGAACCCATGCCAGTCGCCCGCCTGTGAGGAAGGTGTGACACGGATTTAGTCCCACATCGGTTGTGCACCAACTTTTCGGGCGAATATATAGTAATGTTAGCTTTATAAGCAAAGTCCCTTCTCTTGCGTGTACAACCACTCCTTGCCCCACAGCCGGCTGGCCACAGGTGACGTGGAAGGGCAGTGGCGTACACATCCCTATCAGTCCAAGCTCAAGCCGCTCGAACCCCTACTCGCGGCTACTCCCTAACTGTGCTTCCAACCCGCTTGCAGGCCCTGCTGGCCAGCGGGTCCCCCATTTTGCAATTTTTTCATTTTTATTTCTTGTTCTTCAATAAGACTATAAAAATCATATAAAATCACATAATTACCCAAAAATTCACATTAATCAACTGAAAACCACAAATCATTTTTTTACACAAATATAAGTCTATTTATCATGAGTTAAGGCTAAAACTATATTATTTACTAATTATTAACTCATGATAATGAAGACTTATCAGTGACTTAGTCATTGTATATTAAATCACGTGAATCTAAAATTTATAAAACTAGAAAATATGATTTTTCAGATATTTTGAAGTATTTTTAAACAAATATATCAATTATAATTTAATAAAACTTTCAAAACTAGCAATAATTTTCCAAGTCAATCACAGGGATGTAATATCCTATCTAGTAATTATTCAGAATTTTCTACAAAGAATACTATTTTCTATGAATTTTACACTAAGAAATGAAAAAGAAAAATATTTAAAATTCACAAAAAAAGGAAATAAGGGTGCGGACATCAGGATGACATCAGCACCCAGCGAATGCGAATCAAGCCAAAATAGAGTGCTGCCCGACGATTCTTATGTAAGTAATTACAAATGATTTAATTGATCAAATTAAAATCTGTAAAAGCTAGAAGAATTGTAATGAAATGAAATATATCTTGGTAAATTTAAAATCAGAAAATTATCAATAAATGAAACGAAAATTAAGTTAAAGTAGGAAAATAAAGTTCCGGTGTCACGATGGCGATGTGTCGACGATGCACCAGAATCCTGATGTAGTGTTCATAGCCACAAAGGCTCTCTTTGGACAAAGACGACATGGGCAATCTCTAGATCTCCTTGCAAAATCTAGAGATCAATGAAATGGGTCCTCAAATCGTCTCCGATGGAGTGGAAAAACGGCGACTTTGCGACTTTCCAATAGTTGTCACCTGATGGAGAGAAGTTGGATGGAGGTGAGGCACGTGTCACAGAGCTTCATCCTCAGGTCTACATAGAAAGAGGTGGCTCTTCATTGCATCCAGTACGCTCTTAGGAGGTGGCGACTCATCTCCTAGCGGGTCGTCCTCTTCCCAACGACGGCTTATTCGTCGATCAATCGAAAATGCTTGATGGATTTGCAATCCTTTTATTGTAAATCATTCAACAATTTTAATAACAATGCTCCGCAAATCACGTTGATGAGATTTTCACTGATGATCTAGCAATTTTGGTTGCTTAATCCTTCAGACGGCGATCTGTAAGAAAGCCACGATAATGAGATAAAAAAATATGAATTTTGACTCTAGGAGGATTTGAACCACGCCAATTGCTGCCCTTTCTAGGGAAGGTGACGCACGTTTAGTCCCACATCGATTGTGCACCAAAGTTTGTGGTGAATATATAGTAATATTACATTTTCGATCAAGTTCCTTTCTCACGTGTGTACGACTAGTCCTTGCCCCACAGTCGGCTGGCCACCGGTGACATGGAAGGGGAGTGGCGCACACATGCCCCCATCAATTCAAGCCGCTCAAGCCCATGCTCACAGCTCCTGCCCAACTACACTTCCGACCCCCTTGCGCGCCTAGTTGACCAGTGGGTCCCCCCCATTTTGCTATTTTTATTTTAATTTCTTTTCCTTCATTTATCTCAAAAGTAAGTCTGTAAAAATCATATAAAATCATATAAAATCACATAATTACCAAAAATTCACGTTAATCGATTGAAAACTACTTTTCACACTATAACACAAATATAAGTCTATTTATCATGAGTTAAGGTTAAAACTATATTATTTACTAATTATTAACTCATGATAATGAAGACTTATCAATTATATTTTTTATTTCAAAGAGGACATATCTGTTATTAGGTGTAAGAAAAATTAAACCTCTATTATGTTTATTTTCATAGCTAGGAAATAAATTTTTCCTCTTGATATTTCAAGACCTCTTGTATTTGTAATGATTATTAGATAAAAAGATCGTTCTTGACTTTAGCATTGAATTATAGAATTTTTGAAAGTATTACATTACAAAAATATGACTTTTATTTTGTGACCTATTATAGTCAATAATGATGCCTATCAAGAATGTGTTTACTATTGGGTTTGATATGGCTAAGTGAAGTATTAAAAGGGGGGGGGTGAACTAGTTTTCTACATTTTCCTATTTTATTCTATTACTTTCTCTGTATGAACATGTATTGATGCACATAATCTCTCAAATCTATATATGGATTGACCTAAGTCACTTCTCTTTTCATCACAAGATTCACCTAAATTGTACTATGTAGATGAGAATGGCAGAATCATAATAGTAATTCCAAAATTGTTATGATCAAAAAACTATAAAATTTTCTGTCTCTCTTCATAATCACAGTGGATTCATCTTAGGAGAATATTTTAAAGACACAAAATTCAGTCATTGCCTTGTAGCGGCTAGTTTTCTGGTCAATTCAATCAAAATTCAATTTTGTTTGAAAATTTAAAAATCTTCTAAAAGTGATAATAAATCAAATACAGGAAGTTTTGTGAGAACTCTTTCACCATTGTGATCTTTGTTTACGAATTTTTATTTTAATAACATATTATCCTCTAAATAATCACCAAGATAAAGGTGCCATTTATAAATTTCAAAACATCTCAACTTAAATCATACGGGTACCATAGTCAATATGATGTAAGCCTTCAAAACCTATCAAAACCTTTCAAAACCTTTTACCATGCATGCGTAAAGGTACCTTTTAGTAGATCCTTCTCCTTTACGACTACACCAAGTGACCCAATTTTACCTAGAATAGGTTTATTGTGTCTGACTAAAGCTAGGGGAAACCAAGGGTTCTCTAGGAGTGCCGCACATTGCTGCCAAACTAAAAAGGAATGGCAAAAGTTGTTGGACTCTTTCTATACTTGTAACTGTTTAATGTGAGGGAAGTAATTTTTCTCTTCTATACTTACTTACTCGACTGCAACTATTTTATGTGGCAAAACTTTACCCCATTCCACCATCTTGTACGTGCAACTTGGTGATGTCGATCTCGCATGCAGATCTCAGAATGAATCCTTTCAAGTACTTCTGTGTAGACGGCATAGAACATCCCCCTTTATGGATATTTAATATTTTGTGAAGATTATGATTAGAGAGCATCACTAGGTGAAATGCATACTACTATTTCAAAGATTGAGGAAACCCTTCTCTGCGATAGAGACACTGGACTTGTTCTAACCTAGCACCAAACAAAGTGTAATGAAAAATATCCATGGTCAAAATCATGTAAACGGCTCATCGAGGTAAGTATCCATGAATCTGGGAATTCCCAGAGTGGTGGAATGAAAAATAATATAGCGACAAAAAGTAGGGCTCCAAAATGGCAATCACAAAATTTTCTTCATTGAAATAGGAAAGCTTATAAGAATGTGAGAACCATGGGGAGGGTTCAGGATTTTAGCCTAGCACTTTTCATTGAGAATAGTTTTGTGGAGAAGTTAAGGTAGGGAACTCAGGATCTATGAAACCAAACAGCCAAGTGAATGATGGGGAAATTATTCTTGAGCACTTGCTGGCTTATTGAAAATTTAAACCACAAGCTGCTGTATCACTTTGAGGCCAGTCAGTGTTTACCATCTTCTTCTTTGCTGAACTTTTCATTCTGGTCTGGGTACATCAAGGAGTTCACTTCATCTTATTCTTTCAATTAATCTTTGATGATCCACCCATTGTCAAACAGGCTACCATAAACCTAAATCAAGATAAAGTGCAGTTATTTTCATTATTCCCCGCCCTATTCACCACCCCGAACAAAAGAACTGCTGCTAAGAGCAATCAAATAGGCAAGTCACCATCCTGTTTGTCTTGCCTTCAAGAGTACTTCGATATACAATCAATAGGCACCATTAGAAAGAAAGGAGAACAATACATCTTTGTACCAATCCAAGGAGAAGTAAGGAAAAAATAAATTACGGCAGAGCTATCATGACAAAAGGTACTTTTCCTATTTTCTAGATAGGGTTTTTCATCATACAAAAAGATAGATGCCTCGTCGTACTATCCCACCATATTTGATGTTGAGGTCTAAACTCTCACTTACAGAGCTTATTGTAGTATCCAAAATTTAATTTCAAATAATAAGTTGTGAGGAATCCAGAATCTGTAAATTCAGGAATCTATATGAGACGAGTTATGGTAGAAGGGTGGAGAATGGATGTGAGAATGGTGACGTGACTCAGTCGTTGTATATTAAATCACGCAAATATAAAATTTATAAAACTAGAAAATACGAATTTTCGGATATTTAGAAGTATTTCAAAATAAATATATCAATTATAATTCAATACAAATCCCAAAAATAGTGATATTTTTCCAGGTCGATCACAGGGATGTAATATAATATCTGGTAATTATTCAGAATTTTTCTCAATGAGTACGATTTTCTTACGAATTTTATACTAGGAAATAAAAAGGAAATATATTTAAAATTCACAAAAAAAAAGAGGAAATAAGGGTGCGGACGTTAAGATGACGTCAGCGCCCGGAGAACGCGAATCAGGCGGAAACAGAGTTCCGCCCGGCGATTCTTACGTAGGCGATTACAGACGACTCAATTAATCCAATTAAGATCTGTAAAAGCCGGAAGAATCGTAGTTGAACGACGTATAATTTGGTAAATAAAAATCAACAAAGTATCACTAAATGAAGCGTAAATTAAATTGAAAGCAGGAAAACAGAGTTCTGGTGTCGCGACGGCGATGCGTCGGCGATGCACCGGAATCCTGAGCATTCGGGAGGATCGTCGTGCAGTGTCCACGGCCTCGAAGGCTCTCCTTGGACAAAGACGACGTGGGCAATCTCTAGATAAAGCAGGAAAACAGAGTTCCGGCGTCGCGACGGCGACGCGTCGGCGATGCACCGGAATCCTGAGCGTTCGGGAGGGTCGTCGTGCAGTGTCCACGGCCTCGAAGGCTCTCCTTGGACAAAGACAACGTGGGCAATCTCTAGATAAAGCAGGAAAATAGAGTTCCGGCGTCGCGACGGCGACGCGTCGGCGATGCACCGGAATCCTGAGCGTTCGGGAGGGTTGTCGTGCAGTGTCCACGGCCTCGAAGGCTCTCCTTGGACAAAGACGACGTGGGCAATCTCTAGATAAAGCAGGAAAATAGAGTTCTGGTGTCGCGACGGCGACGCATCGGCGATGCACCGAAATCCTGAGCGTTCGGGAGGGTCGTCGTGCAGTGTCCACGGCCTCGAAGGCTCTCCTTGGACAAAGATGATGTGGGCAATCTCGAGATCTTCTCGCGAAGTCTAGAGACCAATGAAGTGGGTCGTCAAATCGTCTCCGGCGGCTATCACCCGGCGGAGCGGAAAAACGGCGACTTTGCGGCTCTCCGGTGGCTGTCACCCGATGAGGAGGGGCTGGATGGAGGTGAGGCGTGTGTTAGGGAGCTTCATCCTCAGGTCCGCGCAGCAAGAGGAGGCTCTTCATCGCATCTGGTACGCTCTCAGGAGGTGGCGACTGGTCTCCCGGCGGATCGTCCTCTTCCCGACGACGGCTTGTTCGTCGATCAATCGGAGATGATTTACTCGATGGATTGCGATCCTTTTATCGCGAATCGTTCAGAAATTTTAGTAGCAATGCTCCGCGAATCGCGTTGACGAGATTTTCGCCGATGATCCAGCGATTCTGGTTGCTTAATCCTTCACCGGCGATCTGCAGGAAAGTCGCGATAATCAGTTAAAAATATATGAATTTTGACTCTGGGAGGATTCGAACCCGCGGCGGTCGCCCGCCCCTGAGCAAGGTGTGACGCGGGTTTAGTCCCACATCGGTTGTGCGCGGATTATTCGGGCGAATATATAGTAAAGTTAGCTTTCTAGGCAAAGTCCTCTCGCGTGTACGACCACTCCTTGCCCCACAGCCAGCTGACCACCGGTGACGTGGAAGGGGAGTGGCGCACACGTGCCCCTATCGATCCAAGCAAGTCGCTCGAGCCCCCGCTCGCGGCTACTCCCCGACTGCGCTTCCGACCCGCTTGCGGGCCCGGCTGGCCGGTGAATCCGCCTATTTTGCAATATTTTTATTTTTATTTCTTGTTCTTCATTTATCTCAAAACTAAGACTGTAAAAATCGTATAAAATCACATAATTACCCAAAAATTCACGTTAATCAACTGAAAACCACTTTTCATGCTTTAACACAAATACAAGTCTATTTATCATGAGTTAAGACTAAAACTATATTATTTACTAATTATTAACTCATGATAATGAAGACTTATCAAATGGTTTTCAGGATATGGCACTCGATTGGTGCTAGGCTTGCTGGTTGTTAAATCCTTAATGGGTATCTAAATAAGAGTCGTCTTCTTTAATAATGGGGGAAGATCATATGGAGGAATAAGAGTAGGGGAAAGGTAATTCAACCTAAGGAAGATTATAGTGCTGCGTAGACATTACTATGAAACTTAAGAGTTCGAGCCTTGTGATGTGAGAGCATTGGATATTGTGCTGAAGCAAATGTGTTACATATGAAGAATATTTATACAAGAGAACACATAATACATGATTTGGAAGGGAAGCTTTTGGATATCTACATTTATGCAAAAGTAAAAATTTAAATCAACAAACAAATATTAAAGGATATCTATTTAGATAATCAAATAGACTAAGTAAAATCTATATGCAACCTATCATGTAGTCTACTAAATGAATGAAAACTATCTAGTCGTAAGACGAAGGTAATGATAAGTCTTCATTATCATGAGTTAATAATTAGTAAATAATATAGTTTTAGCTTTAATTCATGACAAATAGACTTATATTTGTGTTAAAGTGTAAAAAGTGGTTTTTAATTGATTAATGTGAATTTTTGGGTAATTATGTGATTTTAAATGAATTTATAAAATTTTTATAATCTTACTTTTGAGATAAATGAAGAAAAATAAATTAAAAAAAAAAGACAAAACGAGGGGGACCCATTGGCCAGTTGGGCCTGCAAGTAGGTCGGAAGCTCAGTCGGGGAGTAGCCATGAGTAGGGGCTTGAGCGGCTTGGATCAATAGGGGCACATGTGTGCCACTCCCCTTTCACACGTCACTGGTGGGTAGTCGACTGTGGGGCAAGGAGTGGTCGTACATGCAAGAGAAGGGACTTGCTTAGAGGTGTAACATTAGTATATATTCGTCCAAAATATCGGTGCACAACCGATGTGGGATTAAACCCTCTTACAGTCAAAACTCATATTTTTTTATCTGATTATCACGACTTTCCTACAGATTGCTAGTGAAGGATTAAGCAACTAGAATCACTAGATCATCGACAAAAATCTAGTCAACATGATTCGTGGAGCATTGTTACTAAAATTGCTGAACAATTCATGATAAAAGGATCGCAAATCTATCGAGTAAAACATCTCCGATTGATCGACGAACAAGTCGTCGTCAAGAAGAGGACGATCCACCAGGAGACAAGATGCCACCTCCTGAGAGCGTACCAGATGCAATGAAGAGCCTCCTCTTGCTGTGCAGACCTGAGGATGAAGCTCCTTGACACGTCCCCCACCTCCATCTAGCTCCTCTCCATCAGGTGACAGCTGCCGGAGAGCCGCAAAGTTGCCGTTTTTCCACTCCCTCAGGTGACAACTGCTGGAGATGATTCGATGACCCCTTTTGGTTAATCTCTAGACTTTGCAAGAAGATCTAGAGATTGTCCATGTTGTCTTTGTTCAAAGAGAGCCTTCAAGGCTATGGACACTACACGACGATCCTCTTGAATGCTCAGGATTCTAGTGCATTGTCAGTGCATTGCTGTCGTGATGTCAGAACTTTGTTTTCTTGCTTTCAACTTACTTTACACTTCATTTAGTGATAATTTTTGTGGTTTTAATTTACCAAAATATATTTTATTTAATTATGATTTTTTTGGCTTTTACAGATCTTAATTTGATTAATTAAATCGCCTATAATCGCTTACGTAAGAATCGTCGGGTGGAAGTTTGTTTTTGCTTGATTCACCTTTGCTAGGCACTAACATCATCTTGATGTCTGTACCCTTATTTCCCTTTTTCGTGAATTTTAAATATATTTCCTTTTCATTTCTTAGTATAAAATTCATAGAAAATCATATTCATAGAATAATTACCAGATATTATATTACATCCTTATGATTAACACAGAAAATTATTGCTATTTTTTGGTTGGTTGAAATATAATTGATATATTTGTTCAAAAATACTTCTAAATATCCAAAAAATCATATTTTCTAGTTTTATAAATTTTAAATTTGCGTGATTTACTATACAACGACTGAGTCATGTCAAATTTTGGCACCATTGCTAGGGATGTATTGCATATTATTTAGTATTTTTCTATTTTTCTCTTAGAGTACACAAAAAAAATTAACTCTTGTTTTATTTTTTTCTTGCTGAATTATTTTTTTTAGAAAAGAGAAACAAAAAGAAGCAAGGCAAGGACTGGAGCATACTGAAGGAAGGTAACAATTACTAAATTTTCTCTCAAATTTATTGATTTTTTATGCATGGTAGAAGATCTTTCCATCCAAGGCTAGAAAATCTTTTCATTATTTCATTCAAAACTAAAAATCTGAAAGAAAAATTAATTTTGATAGATCCTGAAGGAAGTACAGATCAAATTAAGAACAATCCTATGGCCATGAAAAATCATTATATCCCTGATTCATTTCAAAGAACATCCAATATTAGAGTCCCATTAGCACTCACTATTAAATTCGAAATAAATCAAGGATTTTTTCAAATGCTCCCTAATTTTCATGGATTTCCTTTAGAGGAACCTCATCAGCACTTAGAAAAATTTCATATGGTCTGTGATTTAGTTAATCTCTCTAAAGTTACACCGGAAATTATTAAGGTGAAATTATTTCTTCATATACTTTTTTGTAGAGCTTCTTTCTGATTTTCATGCAATAATATATCAAAAATCATCGTGAAAACCAGAATTATCTTCATCCATTTCACCACCCAAAATAGAGTAGAGAAGATAACCTACACTTGGATGACATCACATGACCTGTTAATGTGGCCCAAATTTACCAACTTGTCCCATAAACCCTTAATATATCTTCATCGTGATGTGATCATGAACTTTTATGTTATATTGTCATTATCTTGATAATTTGTAGATTACTAAAAATAGCTGAAAACATGTCTTCATAAATTCCCTAAAATTTTCAAGATGTAAAAATAAAAAGATGTAAAAAAGGATAAAAAAAGAAAATAATCTTCTCCACAATTAAAATTTGCAAATTACTTGAGCTCTATATATTCAATTTTAATCATTGCTGATATTCAGAAGTGATAAATGACTCAAGACTGCAAAATATTCCAGAGAAAATGGAGGAGAAAAGCAAAAAAGTAAAAGAGAATTAAATGATAGAACATACACCTAAAATCAGGAAAACATGGGAGGAGAGAGAAAATACGACCACTAGTGGGGTTTCTCCATTGGAAGTGAAAAAGGAAAATAAACTTGAGTCAACTACTGATAAATGATAACTGATATTTTGAAATAAATATACGAAAATGGTCAGAAAAAAGTCAATTTTCATAAGAAATAGTAAAATTAGAAGGGAAAATAAAAAATGGAAATAAAGCCACAAACCCATCCATGTTGGTTACCCAAGAATAGAGTATCATTGTACTGAGAAAATGGAATGGAAATGAAAATGCCAATTTAAATGCTTAATGATGTCATCTATATCACCCAGATGATGAAATAAGCTAAAACGAAAATAAAATCAAGTCAATTGGAAACCTAATTCGCAAACACCATCTATCACTCTACTCAACTATCACCAAAAGATAGAGTACCAGAAAATGAATGTCAAATTGTCTAAAAAGTGGAAAAAAATAAATAGATTGAAAGCCTTAATCTCATTGTTTGTGTGTTGCACAGACAATGGATTAATAAGGAACGAAAATAGATGTAATAAAAGGAGAAATCAAACTTGTAAATAACTAACATTGCT